TTCCCACCCGGCCTCAGCATGCTCAGTCAGCGCTCCACCACCTCAAACACCTCACTCACTTCCCTCTCCATCACGCGATGCCTCAGACTTCAACCGTCTATCACCCGCCACCTCCCATCATACTTAGTCCCGCAAACAAACGTTCATCAGCCAACGCCCCCGTCTCAAAGGGCGTCGACAGACGCGGAAGGCCAATCCTCTACCAGGGAGGCAGGATGGTGTCTCATAACTTCAATGAGCTAGGCTGCTTTCTCTCTAACTGCCGCCTCATGCACATCTGCTCTTTCCGCGGCGTCGCTCATAACAGGAGCACCTTCCCCCACAACCCGACCTAACATTTATAGCATAAACGTACTCCTTTAGGTTCCAGGGAAAACTGCGTGCGCATCATTCTAACTCCTCAATGGTAATATTTGGTTGGATTTAGGAACGTCCCCTCGATAAAAGATTATTATTTACCCATTTTAGAAGTGAAGATAGTCTTTGTTCCGGGCATGTTATTCTCAAGCCACAAGTTTCTGGTCCAGAAATATTTCCAGAACATCCTGCGTATTTTGGGGGCACTCTCAGAACACTATTCGAGCTCCGCAACAATCTAAACGACGTCAGACATGCACATGCTCGAGCCAACTGCATTTAATCCGACTCTTTTCGGGGCCCGCAATCAGCCCGAGCAGATCATGACGGAGACGGTACCCCCACTCTGAGTCTCCCTCTGCACGGACCACAGCACGTCCCGCCACACCATAACATCTCATCAACCCCTCCATATCAATTAATTGTTACTTCTTGCAATAAACCTACAAACATCACACTGTTGTGGCGTGGTTCCTGCTCGTGAACAACATTTAAACCTCAGGACAGGAAGTGATCTCCTCCTACAGAGGACACAGAGACAGTGAGGAGTAATCTGACCAGAACCCAAACCCAGCGTAGAGAGGTTCAGTGAATGTGGTTCTGATGGTGTGGAGGTGGTTCAGGGTGTCAGAGGAGACTCTGTAGAAGGAGAGAGAGCCAGCAGGATGATCCAGATACACTGCTACTCGACCAGAGGGGGAGGAGGAGGAGGAGGGGGAGTAGGAGGAGCGGGAGGAGGAGGAGGAGGGGGAGGGAGGAGGGAGATGCATGTTTCTCTCTTATTGTGCCTGACAGAGTAACCTCTATCAGAGCAGCTCAGACTCCAGGACTGATCATTATCTCCAAACACACAGTCCTCTCTCTCTCCTCTCCTGCTGATTCCTCTGTAAGTCACTGATATATGAACATCTCCTCTCCACTCGACCTCCCAGTAACAGCAACCAGTCAGAGCTTCTCTACACATCAGCTGCTTCCAGGAGTCAAACCTCTCTGGATGATCAGGATATGGCTGCTCCTCTCTCACACATGTCACCGTCCTGTTGTCCTCAGACAGTTTGAGGTTTCTGTGTGCTGTGTTTGAGTCCAGGGTGAGTCCACAGGAATCTGATGAGAGACACAGACAGCAGTTTATCATCAGACCCACCTGAAGGCTCTCTGTTAGTGGCCCTTTCTATAAAGCTTCAAGTTGTCAGTCATGTTTTAATGAATAAATGCCACCTCCATCATCTGTGTCTCTAGAGAGAAGCTGACTGATCCACACTTACACTTCCTCACACCTGGTTTGAACCTCTGCTCTCCACCATGGTCCAGCCTGGAGGAAGAAACACAGTCAGGATGATCTTCTATCCAACATGAGTCCTAGCTGCTGTTACCTGCTAACAGCTACCTGCTTACAGTCAACAGCCAAAATCTAACAGCTAACAGCTTAGTTTACCAGCTCCCCTCCTGCTGATATCAACATGAATTTGATGTTCGTGCTGGCATTGTGAGGTGAAAAAAGGAGCAGCGATGAACGGGTCTTCAACAATCCGCGCAGGTCCGCTGATGTCCAACATGTGAATGGTATCCGGACTTGGCTATTAGCAAACGTGGGAAGTTTCGGGCCGATCAGACAATGTACATGGGAGTTACAGCAATAACATAAACATCACTTTGATGGCGAGTGATCTGTCGCCATGGCAACCGCATATGATGACAGCCCATAATAAGCTTAGATGTGTTGAGGGCTGCATTATTATCAAACATGTGAAGTTTGGGGCCGTTTGGAGCATTCCCACTAAAGTTATGAGATTATTGTGTTTCCTTGGCAACTACATTTTAAGACATTTCAAAACGGACATCTAGATTTCTTCACAGCTGGACTCTTAGCACACAGGTGAAGTTTGACCACTTTTTTTACAATTTTCATAGGAGATAAAGTAATATTGTGTTTTACGGCGAGGGATTCGTTGCCATTGCAACGGCTTTTGAGGAAAATTGGCACATATACATTTTGAGGGCCAGACCATTAACCATCCTCTGAAGTCTGGTGGCTTTTGGACCATTTTCAGTGGAGTTACAACACCGTGTTAGATGGCGGTGGACGCGTCTCCATGGAAACGGCAGATTGTGAAACCTCAGATTTGACGTAGAGCTGTTCAGGGCCGCAGTGTTAACCATCAAGTGACGTTTGGCGGCGTTCGGAGCTTATCAATTGGAGTTATGATAATAATAATAATAATAATAATAATCCTATCGTTATCAATTATGTAGCGAGTACAGTGACGTGGGCGAAGTGATAAATCACGTTTTTCCAACGCCAAATTCAAAATAACCAACTGTACAATTTTTGACACACCTCCAAGAGGCTTTTTGGTTTGTCTCCGCACTTTAGATGTACCTGCCAAGTTTTGATCGTTTACGTGAAAGTGGGGGGGAGTTTACGTTAAAAACGGAAGTGGGCGTGGCTTGTGCATTTTTTTACGCAAAGTTCCGGAACCAAATGCTAACGCGCCTGCAACATTTGGTGAGTTGTCATATATGTTCAGGGGGTCAAATATGCGTTCAAAGAGGGCATATACAAATCCTAATAATAGCGCGGGCTACCCACTGTCAGGTTTTCGGACCCTTTTTCCGTTGTTTTCCTTGTTTTGTCTGTGTTTGGCAGGGTTGTCAACCCTTCGCCGACCCCTGGTCTCAGACCCTAATAACCGTGTCAAACATGAGAGGAAGAACATGACCTTTGAGATATTAGAGACACCTTCAGTCTGTCTGTCCATACCTGAGTGTCTCCAGTCTCCAGAGTGGATCCTCGAGTCCAGCAGAGAGCAGCTTCTCTCCTGAGTCTCCTGGATGATTGTAGCTCAGGTCCAGCTCTCTCAGATGGGAGGGGTTGGAGCTCAGAGCTGAAGCTAGATAAACACAGCCTTGCTCTGTAACCATACAGCCTGAGAGCCTGGAACCAGGGAATACACTAAACTCAGTGTTTTAATGATGTCAGCATGAATGTACAGATGTTGACCAACTTTATTAACATGAACCTGAACCTGGATGAGCAGGTTTTAAAGTAAAACTATGTAATAAATCCTGACCTGAGAGTCTCCAGTTCACAGAGTGGACTCTCCAGTCCAGCAGACAGCCGCTTCACTCCTGAATCCTGCAGGTCGTTGTTACTCAGGTCCAGTACTCTCAGACTAGAGGACTGGGAGCTGAGGACTGAGGACAGAGCTGCACAGCTTCTCTCTGACAGGTTACAGCCACTCAGCCTGGGGAAGGATTAGCATTGAACACAATTGATTTTATTTATCATGTTTTAAACTGATCAATGTTGTTTGTATCTCCACTTACAGAGCTTTCCTGGAGGCTTTGACCACTGGCAGCAGCCTCAGAAGAGCCTCCTCTGAAGCACAGTATTTCTTCAGGTCAAAGACGTCCAGATCTTTTCCTGATGAAAGTAAGATGAAGACCAGAGCTGACCACTGAGCAGGAGACAGTTTATCTGTGGAGAGACTTCCTGAACTCAGGGACTGTTGGATCTGCTCCACTAGAGAACCATCATTCAGTTCATTCAGACAGTGGAACAGGTTGATGCTTCTCTCCGGAGATGGATTCTTTCTTATCTTCTTCTTGATGTACTCAACTGTTTTCTGGTTGATCTCTGAGCTACTTCCTGTTTCTGTCAGCAGGCCATGTAGGAGTTTCTGATTGGTCTGCAGGGAAAGACCCAGGAGGAAGCGAAGGAACAAGTTGAGGTGTCCGTTTGGACTCTGTAAGGCCTGGTGCACAGCACTCTGGTAGAGATGTGTTGGTGTGGGTTGGTCTCTGAAGACTTTAAGCAGCCAGGAGGTTTTTGGTGTAGGTTTGGGTCTGAACACTTCAGACTGCTGGGAGGTTGTTGGTTCTTCTGCCAGCAGGTTGACTCCAGAGTTGATGAAGGTCAGATGGACATGAAGAGCAGCCAGAAACTCCTGAACGCTCAGATGGACAAAGCAGAACACTGGGTCCTCGTACAGTCCGCTCTCCTCTCTAAAGACCTGTGTGAACACTCCTGAGTACACTGAGGCTTCTGTGATATCGATGCCACACTCTGTCAGGTCGTGATCATAAAGATCAGGTTGCCTTTCAGCAGCTGCTCAAAAGCCAGTTTCCCCAGAGCCTCCATCATCTTCCTGCTCTCTGGACTCCAGTGTGGATGTCTCTCACTTTTTCCATCATACTTGACGTTCCTCACTTTGGACTGAACCACCAGGAAGTGGATAGTACATCTCAGTCAGGGTCTTGGGCAGCTCTACTCCCTC